TTGAATGCAGATCCTAAAGCAAATATTTGCTTAAATCACATCTTAAAAGTACAAACTAGGACTATACTAATTGCAATGTTTCTTCTATAAGGTAAAGAAAGACCCGGATCGCTTAGAAAATTCTCGATGTGAAGCTATGCAAACCTATAAAATCCAGGTCGAATTCGCACTCGCCTGCAGTTATAATTGTCGGAAACCGATATAGAAATTTTTTTACCCCGGTCCTGTATGAATTTTTATCAAATTTTAATTCGCTTATGGTCAAATTATTGCTCAACTGTGAAAGTGCTGGACGGGAATATCTTTCCCGCAAATTTCTCTGTTGTAATTTCGGATTAAGCTCCGCGCAATGGCTTGTACAATTATGGACGAATCGCAACCATTTTGCAGCTTGGAGGCCTCTGATAAGAGCTTTATGACGTGAAAGGAATGATTGCTTGTTATTAGAATCAAGGCGTTTTTATGGCATGTTAGAGTCGTGGCGGCTTTTGGACATGTTATCTTCCATTAGCAATCTTAGACCTTGTACTTTGGATTAACGTAATCATATCGACGAAAATATTGCGTTTTTCTGTTGGTTTCAAATTATGGTTTTAATTGGAAGACCCTATCTATATACACGAACTATACTCATTTGTATTTCATGAGGATTTAATGTTATAATGATTAAATAACTTAAAGCTAATATACTACTGTGATCAAAAAATAAAGTGAATTTATTTAAATAATGAAAACTCTATATATATATATATTGCTAGATCAACTTTATCGCCTTGAAAGGCGATATGCCATCGTCTTGTCCAATTCTCAAAGCAGTCAGCAAAGCCTTTTTCCGCAATGGCCTTAAATGTTTTCTTACATATGGTTTTTTTTTCATCAATCGAGCCGAATATTGCGCAGCTAAAAGATCCTAAATCAGAGGAATGACATGGTGGTGTTTAAAAATGGTTCATTCACGAATTTTTTCCACTGTTTGAGTGTTTTTGGAAGTGATGGAGAGTTAAGGCATAAAACATTTTTTAACATGCTATGGGCGGGAGTAAAGGAAATGCCCACAGTAAGGTCGTTAATTGAAGATTTTCAAGCGTCAAAATTTGATTTACTTAATGTCGTTTTCGTTGGTAGATGTCGATGGTTGCCAGGGGTCCTGTCCGTCTTGAATTTGTTCTTGGTCTCTAATTAAGCCTCCTCATCGAAAATCTACTGCAATATCTTCAAAGTTTCAGCACTAAAATATTGATCGCGCAAGTAAAATTTAATACAAATTTCTTTCTCTGCAGCAATTCTTCTTCTTATTCGGATAGCCAGCAAATCGGCAACAGATGATT